GTTTATTAAAGAGGCCATCCTTAATGGACTGGCCGACGCCAACATCTTAAGGGATAGCCAGCACGGGTTTGTTGCGGGTAGGTCTTGCTCGACCAATCTCATTTCCTTTTATGACCAGGTGACCTATCACCTGGACAAGGGAGAGGAGATTGATATCATATATCTTGACTTCAAAAAAGCCTTCAATCTGGTATCCAATGATCACCTCTTGGCAAAACCGGCCAACTGTGGCCTCGGGTCCAACACGATCCACTGGCCAGGAAATTGGCTCCGTGGTCAGACCCAGAGGGTGGTGGTTGACGGAAGTCAATTGTCATGGTGCCCTGTGACCAGTGGGATTCCCCAAGGCTCTGTCCTTGGACCTATATTGTTCAACATCTTCATTAATGATGTGGACACTGGAGTCAGAAGTGGACTGGCCAAGTTCACTGATGATACCAAACACTGGAGTAAAGCATCCACACCTGAGGACAGGAGGGTGATCCAGGCTGACCTTGACAGGCTTAGGAAATGGGTGGATGAGAACCTGATGGTGTTTAACACCGAAAAATGCAAGGTTTTGTACCTTGTGAAGAAAAACCAGCAGCATCCCTATAGGCTCAGCAGTGCTACGCTGGCCAGCACTACGGATGAAAGGGACTTGGGGGTCATGACTGACCACAAGATGAACATGAGCCTTCAATGTGATGCTGTGGCTAGTAAAACGAGCAAAATGCTGGCTTGCATCCATAGATGCTTCTCAAGCAAATCCCAGGACGTCATTCTCCCGTTTTACTCGGCCGTGGTGAGGCCGCAGCTGGAGTACTGCGTCCAGTTTTGGGCCCCACAATTCAAAAAGGATGTGGTTCTAGAAGCTTGAGAGAGTCCAGAGAAGAGCCATGCACATGACCAGAGGTCAGGAAAACAGAACTTACGACGACAGGCTGAGAGCTATGGGTGATCTGGTGGCCACCTATAAGTTTATCAGGGGTGACCATCAGTATCTGGGGGAACGTTTGTTCACCAGAGCGCCCCAAGGGATGCCGAGGTCGAACAGTTATAAACTACTGCAAGACCATTTCAGGCTGGACATAAGAAAGAATTTCTCCACTGTCTGAGCCCCCAAGGTCTGCCATTGGAGGTGGTTCAAGCACCTACACTGAACGGCTTCAAGAGAAATTTGGATGTTTATCTTGCTGGGATCCTATGACCCCAGCTGACTTCCTGCCCCTTGGGCAGGGGGCTGAACTCGATGATCTTCTGAGGTCCCTTCCAGTCCTAATGTCTATGAAATCTATGAAAATAGGTTTAGTGCTAGGACCACATTTTCTAAAGTAACTAATGACTTTAGGTGCCTCAGCTCTTTGATGACTAACCTACCACTTCTCAAAGGGACTAGATCCTAGGAAGGGGGAGGGATCGACAAATGAAACATACTGGTGGCTCATCTCCTGCTCCCAGGACGAACAAGCTGACTTTCATATATCCCTTAGCTCCTGAGTTTGCATCTTCAGAATCACTCAGTAGAAGCCATTTCCTTATCACTGCATGGCCTAAAATGAAGGAAATAGCTTATCTTACACAAGAAATAGAAATACAAGCAGTATAAGCAAGGTCAACTGTCCCAAAGCAGAACATTTACAATAATTGCATATTAAAAAAAAAATTCTTCCTGATCTAGAAATATTTCAGTATTTTTACCCAAAACAAGAAATGCAACAGTGTTAAAAAGCTAAGTGACATAATTCAGGGGTATTATCTGCTTCCAATTTTTTTACATTCTAATGCTATGAATGAATTACAGCAGAATTAAAAATCTTTTGGAAATAAAGAGAAGGCTGAGGCGGGATCTAGTGGCCTGTTACAAACTAGTCAGGGGGGACCAGCAGGCATTGGGGGAGTCCCTGTAACCCCAAGCACTACCAGGAATGACTAGAAATAACGGTCACAAGCTGGCAGAGGGTAGATTTAGACTAGACATCAGGAGGCGCTACTTCACAGTCATGGCGGCTAGGATCTGGAACCAACTTCCAAGAGAAGTGGTGCTGGCTCCTATCCTGGGGGTCTTTAAGGGGAAGCTGGATGAACACCTTGCTGGGGTCGTTTGACTCCAGTGCTCTTTCCTGCCAGGGCAGGAAGTCGGACTTGATTATCTGTCAAGGTCCCTTCTGACCCTACAAACTATGAAACTATGAATGTAATCTACCTGTGCTGCACTTGTTTGAGGACCACTGAGATGAGTTAAATTTTGGTGCCTTTTTTGATTAATATCTATCTAACCCATCTGTCTCAATGAAACACAGTGAAAGTCACAGCCCTTTTAATTAGTCTTCAACTAGGCAAGAGTGTGAACTCAGGCTCTGAGGTCATTTAATTACCATCCTCATCATAAACATAGCCAATGTCAATCTGAAATAAAGATTACAATATTATCTCCTAAAAAGCAGCAAAATACAGTCACAAAAAATATTCTTTTTTTTTTTCATTTGCAGAGTAAGGCCTAATTTCTCTCTGGTTTTCTGAAGTGTTACCATATTGTTTCTATAGCAAAGAAATATAAACACTGTATGACATACTCCTGTGACCATTAGTAAGGGAACAGAAAAAACACCTTCCATTTAGCAGTACAGGATTTTGAGTGGGTGGTAGGAAATGCAACAGTCATGGTGAAGAGAAGATAAGAGAACATGCATAGCTAAATAAGGGTAGTGGCTATCCCCTTCTCCTTTCCACACCAGCTCTATATCTTCCTCAAAAGATGGCAAGGGGACTGATTTGCAAAATATGCTGAGTGACATCCTTGAAAGTGGGTGGAGAATGAGCAGTGAGAGCCAATATTAGCAAGAAGGTATGAAGGAGACCGATTAATTTAGAAAAGGACTCCTTCCTCCTTCAAGAACAAAGCAGTTACTTAGATACTGAAGCTAAAAGAGCCCAGACTGATTTAATTTATCCCATCAGCATGTACTGCATTCAAGAAGTGGTGTATGGTGTAGAAAATCTACTTCAAAGTAACACTGATTTGGGGATATGATAGGAAAGGAATTTAACCAATAGGAATTACAAGTGTTGTTTGATTTTTTTTCTACATTGTTTTGGGTATAAATATCTCTATCCACAGATACCATAAATTCCTAAATACCGTATTCACAAATATTGGCAGATATAAATAACTGTCATAGTTATGTTGAAATCAATGAAGCCACGGAAATTTACACTGGCTGAGAGTTTTTCTTTTAATCTCTCTTTTTACTAAAAAGACCTTTTGAAACAAAAGAACACTTTTCTGTGTAATTTGAACTTGTGCCTCTCAGGATGCAAAACACAATACTGCTCTGAGCCAATAGCAGTTACAGCAAATTTTTCTTCAAAATTTAGGTAATCTAGAGCAGCTGACAATAATCTTCTGCACCAGTTATTTTACCCTTTGGAGATTGATTCATTTTTCTTTTCTTGGCTGGCACAGATTTATAGGGTGTGAGTTAACCACTCAGAATGGCACTGGGGAAGATTTATTTTATTTATTCATTAGATGTATATGCTGCCCTTCCCAAAAAAAAAAACTCAGGGAAACTTACAATAAAAGACAAACTAATTAGTGAATGAAATTGATGCAAGGCATAAATATATTTATTCTGAAAAGCGACTATGTAAAATTGGCACTATACTACTTAACAGATCTGTTCCTTGCTTAATCAGTCACACTTCATGACTTCAATAATAAGTTTCTTTTTCTGTTGTTTTTTTAATACTATTTCTACTCTACAGTTGGCACTGTAGAGCCAGCACAGATAAGAAAACTCACTCAATAAAGTCAAATAAAATTATTCTATACATTATTCTATATATAATTATTATAGCTAAAGGCAGAATTATAACTACTGAAAATTAAGTTACTTGGTACATATAACAGATATGACTTTCATGAATAACAGCAATTAAAATATAATTTTCAACTCAAACAATAGTACTGTCTACCTCAACATTACTGGTAAGAGCAAATGCTCTGAAGCATTAAAAGCAAAACAGTACCAAGGGCATTTTCTGTTCTGTTCCATATATGGTATGTAAGAACACTATTAAAGCAGTGATTTTAAATAATTTCTCAGATCTTCCTTTAAGTCACTAGTTTAGGCAGGGTATGGGAATCTGCTCATTTACTCACCTTAAATTCTCCCATTAGACAGTCTGCTCGTAAAGAGTAAGAATCATACACCTAAAATGGAAGAACAGGAATGATACCTTTCCTAGTCTTTATGCAGGAATGTCCTGACTGTTTCTAGCATGTGTTATTTCTCCTTACCCGAATGCTTATTGTTTCATCAAGCAGCTCTAATGGGGTCATGTGGACGTTGTAGAAAAACATCTGTTACAACAAAAATAATTCAGAATGTCAACTTCATGATTAACAGTTACATACAAAATGCAAAAAAAAAATAGTAGCATGTAGCGACCTAAAAGTTGCTAAAAGTACTGGATGGACAACTTTAGAAGTTGTTTTTTATTCACTAAAAGTACTGGATGGACAACTTCAGAGGTTGTTTTTTAATCACTAAAAGTACTGGATGGACAACTTCACAGGTTAAAATCCACTGTTTACCAGAGAACAGGTATAGAAATGTGCAGTTGTGCTACAAGCTTCCAAGCACTGTCCTGCCCTTCAGGAGCTGAGGGCAGTTTTGCCTTCATTACCTAATTGATCTTTGGCCTCTGTGTCTCTGCTGTAGTTGTCAACAAGTCCCCAGATAGTCCTACCTGTGAAGGTAGTTTTAGCAATCTACACAGTCAGAATTTATGCCTGCTCCCACAGGAATAAAACACAGATTGTTTTGGTAGCAGGAGGCTCTGGAGTACTTTGTTTATTTATGAAATATGCTTAACCAAAACCCACCACATTTGATCTTCCAGCTCAGCACATTATCCAAGAGGTGGGGGAGGATCCCCAGAACTACACTATTTCACCTTAGCCTGCTCCCTGATGTTAAAGCTGACCAGGAAATGATTCAGATCCCAGTGCAACCAGCTTCATTTCATTTCCTGTATACACTGCCAAAACATTACCTATGCCAAAAGCTGTAATGTAATAAGGGTTATACAAAGCACACCACCTGGGGCTTCAACTGTGCTGGCGGGGGTGGCTTTCTTCTTCAGAAAGAAAGAAGTTGGTTCTTTCTGATGTTTTGACTCCTTTATTCCATAAGAATTGTGCAAGACAGACTGGGGCTTTCATTTTCACATTATATGGAAACAAAAATGAATGCCTCACATGTCATTATAAAAATCATAAGTAAGTAAGACTGCAGGGGTTACCATGATCATCTAGCCTGTCCTCCTGTAGAGTAGAAGGATATCTATTCTTGTTTTAAAAACTGCAAGCACTGGCATGTCCACCACCTCCCCTAATTTGTTCCAATGTTTAATTGGCCTAGGCTAGAATTTGTGTCATGAACTTGAATAATTGCGACCCCAATCTACTGGCTTTTGTTATACCTTTATTTGCAAGGGTGAAAGCTGAACCTTGTTGCCTCCACTAGTATATATCTTTTTTCATGTAAGCAGCATACAGTGCTTACATCATCTCTCTCAAAAATCACTTCAATAAACTTCTCAAACTTTTCATGATACGGTTTATCTTGCAGCTTTTGGATCATTTTTCTGCCCCTCCCTTGATTTTTCTCTAGAATTTCCTCATCCTTCTTGAACTGCAGATACCAGAACTAGACATAGAATTCTAGTTTTAATCTTACAAGTGCTGTAGAAAGAGGCAGGATTGTATCTTTACTTCTATTTGATAGTCTCCTTTTTATATAACCAAAGATGTAATAAGTCTTTTTAATGACAGTATTGTGCTGAAACTTATGCTTTGACAATTTTCTACAATGAGCTCCAAATACTTTTCCAAGTTACTGATTTCTTATTGGCTTAGGCAAATGTTAATTTTATCCTGCTTTATCTGCTATTTTAAAGTGACAAAAAGCCTGTGGCCACACATTTAGACTTTTTTTGTCCCGCTAAAAAATGACAGATCTGGACCCAAATTGTGGATCTCCAACAAAAAAGTTGCTGTTTAAAACAACAATTTTGTCACAAGAAAGTTTTCCAAGAAAAAATGAATGTGTGGACAGGTATTCCACCACTTACCCATAGTTCCCTGCTCTCCCTGTCCCCTCCAAGGAAGAGGGAAAGTGGTTGGATCCTTGATAGTCCACCCAGCAGCAAACTGGTTAGGGTACCCAGTGGGCTGGGACCAGGCAGAAGTTGCTTCTGTCCTAACCCAGGAACAGCCCCTTTTCCGAAGGGACAGGGGGCAGTAGGAAGAGGTGTCCCCCACCCCACAGGAAGGGCAGGGGGAAGTGGTAGGGCTGATGCGGGGGTGGGGGGGAAGGTCTGCGCCACTGGGTGGCAAGGGTGAAAGCATTCCATGTCAGCAATGGCAGCAGTGACTGATTAGGGGGTGCAGACACCCCTTTGGCTCTTGCCGCCATTTGCAGGGAACACTCTCATCTTTGCCTCCATGTAAACAGTGGCAGCAGGGGCTCATCAAGGGGCACAGAACCCTAACCAGCACCTGATGCTATGGGGGATTTCCCAGCAGTTCCCTCACCCCTTTGATGGGGCCTTTCTAAATGGCAGTGGCAGGGGTTGATCAGGAGGCAGAGACTTGAAATGTTAAAGGGCTCCCATGATGACCAGAAGCTGGGAACTTTAAAGTGTTCCCAGGCAGCACAGGACCAGTGTGGGCCAGCTCTTAGGCTGCCTGGGAGCCAGGAACTTTAAAGGGCTTGCAGGAAGCCCCAAACCAGGGAAGGTTGCCACAATGGCAGTCTCTGGTCTTAACCAGCTGTTGCCACAGTACCTCCTTCTTGAGTCAGAATAGTGACAATATAGATATTTGCTAAGCCAAAAAAAAGAAAAAAAAAGAACCAGTGTTCAAAATTAGTCTCTTTGTTTGATTGCCCCCCTAACTCTTGCTTTTCCTAAGTTTGTCAACTATAAAGTAAATTGTGATGTGGTGTTTTATAATGTGGTATCACAGAATTGTGTTAACTTGACAAGCCAGCTAATTCTCAGATAGAATGAAGTATGTGTTCTCAAAATACTCACCTCATCAAAATATGGATTGTTCCCTCTTTTGATTCTCGTCCGATGCGTCTGACCACAAACATGAACTTTGACTACTGGTTTTATGTTATTTCCAGACAACTGGCGACCTTCAATGACCCTAACACGAATCTGAAAAAAGTAAGTACACACAGCCTGAGGCAAATGATGTCTATGTGGTGTGTGGTCATTTTAATGTCAATAGTATTTTTCCTATACTCTTTTACACCAAAGAAAATTAATCAACACTAAGGTAGCTGGCAGATTTAGAGTATGTGGTCATTTCAAACCTCCTTTTCATTTGTGTGACATTCAGGTTTTCCTGAAAATACCTAGAGCAAATTATGCCAAGCTCTGCAGAAAAAAAGCAAAGTACAGTATTTGGAACTCTGCTACCTGAAAGTCTTGTGGTTTGTTTGAAAGGATTCTCCGACTTTTCTTTCCTTTAGCGATGCGCCGAGCAAGCTGGGCTTCCTTTGTGCCACTTGGAACTGCTGGGGCAATTCCACCAGCTGTGCCATCCACTTCATCCTCATAACCTCTATCTTCTTCTCCCTCTAATACAAGGAAAAAAACAGCACAATTAGTAAACAAATACCACAGGAGAATGTCAACATTCCCAGAATAAAATTATGAAGTCAAAGACTTGCATGTAAAGTATATTAATACTACTTTCATTATAATAAAAAAATCTAGCCATTGTGTCACTTTTTAACTTAAAAGCTAGAGGAGCTGGATTACCTGTAGCTAATTTATATTTAAAATGCTCTCCTCCAAGATAGAGAATATCTAAGAATCCTCATGCAATCTCTCAAATGCTTGTAGCTGCTGTAAAAGATTACTTCACATCCACAGGGCAGGAACCAGACCTACCTGAGTTGAAGCTAATTTTGCTAGGAGTAGGTTGGGTTCTGGCATAGTAGTGTTTTAATATCAAGGAACTGGTGTAAATAAAGGCAAAAACCTTTGGGTAACCCTATTTAACAGTGGAGATTAGCACCTTCGTGTTTATATGTAAATTGAAATTTTGCAGGTGCCCCAATAAAGTTTATGTTTTGAATCAGGGAAAGTTTCTATACAAATTAGTTAATCTGATAATGTGCACCACTGTCATACAATAATATCTCACTATTGCAAAACAGGTCTACAAAATGTCAAACTACAAAAAATCATCTCCCATGATATTGTTAACTTCTTTTGGTAATTAAAGAATAATTCTTGCTGAAAGATTTAAAGGAGGAATGGAATAGTCTAGTTGGCGTTAAACAGTTACAAAACTGGAGACAGAGGATAAAGGTAGTAGGATATAATTAAGACTTTTACAGTTCATAAACAATGACACAATTTGTGGGTTTTTTTAAAAGAACCTCAAACTCTGTAACCAATATATTGTGCAGCCAAGAAAATGCTTTGTAATCCCAAAGTGTGTACCATAATTTCCCCTTAATCCTCCCATTTGAAATGAGGTGATACTGAATTATTTAAATACCTTGTTCCTGCATAGAACAACATCTGACTGTAAAGACCCAAGAGTTCTGCATATAGGGTAGCTCAGTTGGTGGGATCTGTAACTTTATTATCTGGAGATGGGGCTTATGGAAGCCTGGAATTCATTTTGATGTAGGAAGATAGACATTATAGGGCCAGTAGAAGAGGGCAGGCTGAAAGTGTTGGTACCTATGGTTGCCTGTACACATCATGCTCAGGGGTGGAAGGGCTACTTTGATTAGAGAGGCTCCCAGACAGCCACGCCAATTAAAACAGCTCACCATCACATGTATTAAGCCCTCATGCATTTCAAAATGGCAGTGGGATGCTCTATCTAAAGCTCATTTGACAAGGTTTAGATAAAGCGCCCCTGCAGCCATTTTGAAATGTGTGGGGGCTTAATACACATGGCAGTGAGGTGACGGTGGAGTATTCTAAGTAGAACCCATGTGTTCTAATTAGAACGTGAATGAGCACATCTTCAGACAACCTACTGCTCCGGGTAAACTGGGCTGAAGCATAGGGATACAAATAAACTTTAGGGAAGCTGATTTTATGTTTTCTGGCTTTGTGAATTATCTTCTATTGAACTCTTAGTTTGTCAATATGCGGTGATGATGAACAAAATCAATCAATCAAGTCCCTAATGATCTTAGTTGGAAGTATTCCTAGATACAAGGATGAAGTGCTATATACTGTATTAATCTATACATTTCAACAGCATGCAGTTAGCAGCTGTGTCACAATCCCTCTCCTACAATGGCCATGTAATTTACTGGTTAGGCAGCCCCATTTATAACTTTATTTTTATTTTGAAAGTGCACTGTAATAGTCAATGTGAGAGGTGGCTTACGGAGTCATGGGAAATGACCTGAATATGAAACAATTAACTAACATTTTGCTGGAAACTTGTGGCATTGAAATAACTGGAGTTACTGCATATTCTTAGAATTGTCATGTGTCATTCCAGAAATAAAGGCATTTAGTTGCATTTTCTAATATCTAGCTATCTAAGATAATCATCTATGTGAGATATTTATTGACATTGAGCTAGCTGTTTTATGATTTAAGTCAATCTTTACATCACCATATTTCGAATTATAGAAATGTAACCAAAGTCTTTTGTAATAGTCTTCCTCTCCCTGCCATGCAAGGCAGAAACCCCCATTGACTTCAGTGAAACTAATATTTCACCCCAGGAGTCCATAATTTTAATTTTGTTCCTGTTATGCTCTGCCAACAGATATCAGCCTGATTTTTTTTACTATACTGCCATTGCAAGATTAAAGGTGACACGTCACTAGAGGCAAACTGGAGAAACGGGTTTTTGTAACCACGTGGAAAGGTTACGCCTTTGACTTTACATATATTTCTAACATAGAACATCCTCCTCTCTCACCACTGCATTAAATCTCCATAAGCCATTGCAGGCTACACTATGAGCTGTCTGTGATATAACAGTTTGAGTTCAGTGACACCAAGAGTTCAAAATCTAGGAGAGGCTTCAAACAACAGCATTATGCTGCACACCACAGTGGAGCAGTTAGCCTCAGGCACAAACAAGCTTTGAAACTGCATGCCCAGCTCAACCAATACAAAACTTGACAAGACTTGCACAGTACTGGGCAGCCTCAGAAGGAAAGGTGTAGGGCAATGCATGCAGAGGAAATGGAAGGCTGGTACCCTTTTCCTTTGAGGGCTCTCTGCCTCTCTGCCTCATATTGGCCACAAAAAGTGACACAGGAGGTGACTGGCCCCTCATTGGCCCTTTTCTAATTAACTTAAAACTTTGGCTGGGAATTTGGAATCCCTCTTTGCAACCAATATGAAAAACAAATACTGTTAATACTAGTTAAAAGAGCATAATTGATAATTCAGACCAAATTATACCCAGAGATCTGAAAATAGTCTGAAAACATCCTTTATGTTTATTTACTTTTAATATTAAAATATGCAGCATTCTTAAATTTTATGCTTCCTGATGAAACTAACAGCTCATGAAAATCAACTTCTGAGAACTAGTCCAAAACTAGCTGCAAATTAGGGTAAGGTTAGGTGGAATATTTGCTATTTCACATAACCTTTTCAATAACCATGGATAGGCAATTAATGGATCAGCCCCAACCAATCTGCATAGCAATGAATTCCCCAGTCCTGCCTCCTCACTTTGTAGTTTCCCAGGCACAAAAAGACACCTTGCATAATCTTATATGGTAAATGACACATACCAAGCAGGTGTGTGGGGCTGCTATATGACTCTCCTAAATCCTGCTGTTCCTTTGAACAGCAGAACCACAAATATACTGTTCCCAATGGGACCCCTGCACTTGCAAAGGTAAGAGAGAATATATGCCAGAATGAACAGCTTCAGCTATTGAATGTGTTGTTTCCATTTCCAGACCTCTTGTATCTTGGGCTGAAGTTTCTAATAAACCTGGTTCCTTTTATGTAACCTAAGGCACCTCAATTCATGGAAACATTTCATACTGCAGAAGGCACACATTTCTGCCAGGGCCATGTCACTCTCCTCCATACCAGCTTTGGCACTGGAATACCAGTTATAAAGGAACTATTATCTGTGGACACTGGCTGTAATGGACAGAGATAATGTAAGAGTAACCAGTTTCAGCTCTTCAGTGAAATGAGAATCATACAGATGGAACAAAATGAAACTCACAGTGCTCTACATTTTCACTGCTTCTGTAATGATGACACTACACAAATTACATCTTGCTTCAGTTTCAAAGGGTACTGTATATATTTCAGTGAAGAATCAGTTAGACCCCATTTGTTCAGCTTTTATATAAACACAAACTTGCACTAACACACAGAAGTTAACTAGTGAAGTGCAGGAAGATAAAATATAAACATAATAAATTATGCTGAAGAGGTTACTCGAGATAAGCAAAGTAAATGTATCTACAGAAGGCATGAATACTTGGGAAGAGTTTAACCAGAAACCAAGCACATCCTCTATGAAGCAATGCTAAATCATGTATATTTTTATTGTTTTGTTGCCAAACAAAATATAAATTAATACAATGCCAGGTAATTTCATTAATGTTAAAAACACCATTAAAACACCACCTTTCAATAGCAGGCAGTACTTGAGAAAATATTCCCTGGTAGATTACACGATTTATCACATTAGTTGGATTTGGCACTTAACATAAAGTATAACACATAACAGTATCTTCCAGTTAGTAACTAGGTCCTATTTTCACTTTATACTGTACACCTAAATGGCACTCCCTCAGCCACACAAGTGCTGTTTTTGATACTCTGTAAAGTTTATGATTCTGTTTCAGGTGCAAAGGTGTCTATATGGCTACTGAATTTGCTCAACAGGATTGCACACTGGCCAGGCAGGTATAGTATCCATGCAGTGTTGTATGCATGCCCAGTTACTTCTGCGAGGCTGGGTAAATCCCAGAATTAGAGATGGGCAAAACCTGTCCAATATTCACTCAATAAAATGGATGGAGAGCAGCAGGGAAGTTTCTATCCCATGGGGAGTAGAGGTCCAGGCCAGAATACGTGGCTCCTCCCCCCAAAGCAACATCTACCTCACTGAGCCACACACTTTCTGGCTTGTTCTCTTTCCCTT